ATAGCACTAATGCTATTCTCCAGGAGAGGAACTGTAGCATAGAATTGGTCAGTGAAAAGCAATACTTCCTCTCTGACTCCATTCTGTGTAACCACCCACTCATAACTTACTATCTATTTTGGCCTACGGTTGGCACCAGAATGTCTGCTCAGTAGTGGCTGCTATCAAGATCAGTCAAGACAAGGAACAAGGCTTCTTTAGTGGTGGTGTCTAACTGATGTAACTTCCTCTCCAGGAAATGTGTGATTGGCTCTACCAGTGATGATTTTTGAAGGGACTCTGAAGACCCAGTGGATCTAGCCTGTTTCTTTCCTAGACTCGTCTCATTACAAATGCTGATGATGGATACGTATAGATGTTTAGACTTCAGTTATCTGATGGTATTTTGATAGTTTGGTTTTAGCTCATCTAAAGAATTCACATCTTCAAAATACGTTTCTGATTTTGTGCGTTCATGTACAGCATGTTTTAGTGGTGATACATTTCATTTTGTTTTGTAAATAACTGCACTACATTGGAAAGTATTCTGGGGGATCTAGAATATGTCAGAGAAACTCTTAAACAAACAAACCCTATTCCTCCCATACCTTTTTATCTTCCTGCATCAGCAGGATGCTAAAGCCAGAAATAAGCCCAACTGGGGAAAAATCAGGAGGCAGGAAAGAATTAAGACATTCTCTTTTGAACCACCAATTCCCCTTTGCAAATGTCCATATTATATTACTGTTACTCAGAAAGCAGAGTTGGGAACACATGTTTGTTGAGCTAGCCAAAGTCAGCCAATACCTCCACAAGAACCCTAATAAAATCAGGAATATGAACTAAGCTGAGCAGTAGATAGTGTCAACTGGAGGATGATTTTTGCTGGTTCCCAAGCTAACTCAACATGAGGTACCAAATTAAGAAAACATGGGTAGAACATGATAAATTAGCTAAGTTCTTTGCTCCTACACAATCTTCCTACACAAAGCATTTTCACTTCCTTCCCATCTTCCTTTCCCCCAGTCTTGATGGATTGGGCAACCTCTTTGGAAGAGTTAAGTTAGTTTCAACTAATTCATCAGTCAAGAAAGGAATGGCCTTGGATTAACCCAATATACTTTGAACCTTTGGGAAGCGGCAGCAGAGGCCGAACAACTGGTGTACAGTGATTCATGGCTGAAACATGCTTGAGTGAACTGCCCTCTGTCTAGACTGTTCCACGTTTTCCCCAGCTTTTGCTCTGAGAATTAAAATCTGACCCTGGGGAAACTGATGATTGCAAAAGCCATCCCAGATACTCTATAACCTCCTCCAGCCACTGAGCTGTCCTTCCTTAAGACAACTGCTGGAATTAAAAAGGAAGAACAGACTTCACACTCGTTCAAGAAAAGGGTACACAGCATTCTGTCTCTACTTGCTGGGTTTGTTTTTAATGCTGAATCTCAAAAGATGCATGTTGGAAACTAGGAACATAGACAGTAGCCCAGATCTTGAGTGGTAAATTCTCGGTGAAACCCACACATAGTCCATTTTTGGACAGAAAGAAGACTGCTGAACTAAGTTGAACTGGGTCTTTCTCTTTCCAGGATGCTGATTGGCTAACCCTTCTGGCAATCACAAAACAGTTCCCTCCCACCTGACCATGCTGCCGAGACAATGCTGATCTGATAGCCTTTGTGGCCATCAGGAAGTTATAACCACCTCAACCAGAGCAGTTCAAGCTAAAAACAATTTTAAGTTTGGCTTTTTAAAAAGACAGCAAAGTCAAGAAACAATAAATTATGATGGTGGGTTGCAAGTCGTCCAGACGTTTAGACTTGATTTGGCATTTTTATCTGCCTAGCGAGTCCTTCCCAAGGACCTGGGATAGGCAGAGGTTGTTGTTGGATGGTGTTAAAGGTATGGTTGCAGGATGTAAGCTCTTCCAAGTCAAGCTGCCTTTTGCAGCAACAACAACGACGACAACAACAATAATCTTCTGATGGAGAAGCAACATCTCCACTGGAGTCACAGCACAATTTATTTTCAGAAGAAACCCCTGCATGTTGCAGGAGATTTAACTATGTTCATTTATACTTTATGGCAAGGGAAACATGGACATCATTTTTGGCTTTCGCTAGGTTCCATGCCCCACCTGATTTGATGATGATGATTTTTTAAAATTAATTTGAAACCCCCCCCCAAGTAGTCAGCTTGCTGCAAAATGCCAGCCCCTATTATCATTTTTTTTTTTAACAAGGAAGTTTCTATACCCAATAGGTATTCTTAGCAATTGGCGGCTCCAATCTCATGTTTTTCTTGAAATTATGCCCACCTTCCCCCCCAAAAAAACAAGGCACACAGTAAGGGGGGGGGGTAGACAATGTTCCCAATGCGTTTACGTGCCCCCCAAGGATGCCTAACTACATTACATTAATTAATGTAATTAATTATATTACATGTATAAGGTCCGACATTGCAGTACTAGCATCTCCAAGAAGGGTAAGAAGACTCCGTCTGAATAGTTGGCGAACTTCCACAGCAGGGGTACAGCGCAATTGCTGTTTACCCCAAAATATTCTGCATTCTTCCATGATTATTTCAGGGCTGCCATAAAAAGAACCTGGACTTTTTCTGTTGTCGGATCAAGAGAACTAATCCTATTTTTCTGCTTTAGGATATGGCAATGATTTCAGGAATTCCTGTGGGGAAAGACTGGATCCCTATAAGCAAGGTGCAGGGCAGAGAGTCCACACCAGTCAATGCCTTTGACATTGTGTTACATCCATCAAACCTCAAATCACAAACACAACCAAAGGATGCAGACTAAGTTATGGGACTAGGCATCAATGTCAACAGTTACAACAAACACAAGTCTGATATTGAATTTAATTTTACCTGGAGTCCATTTATGGAATATAATTCTGCACGTGGACTTGTACCACATCCAAAGTTAGGGTTTCTCTTAATGTAAGGTTTTTAAATTTTATCTGATTCATTATAATAAAGATAGAATTTCTCATGATGGCTGGTGTGGGTCTTCCGGGCTGTGTGGCCGTGTTCTGGAAGTTTTGTTTCCT